TGCAGTCAAACACACTGAAACCTTCGTTTTTTCATGGCCAGTTGTTTTCAATCGAATTGTGCTTTCGCCAATGTTGTCGACCGTGGTATTGGATACCATATCTTGCCATACTGCTGTCTCATCCATTGCAATGATATCCCTGTCTTGGTAAGCGATTTTTTTACGTTGCCGGCGAATCTGCAAAACATACGCTATGAGTTTGTCTATCAGTTTCTCGGGGGCCTTTTGTGATTCAGTGGTTTTGCGTCTGATTGCCAAACCATGTCTTGACATGAACCGCTGTAACCAACCGGAACTGGCAAGAAACGATGGTGGCATTTCCTTCTCTTTGCATTTCTCGTTATCGAAAAATTTTGCTTTGCTTGCGATCATTTTTCTGGAAACACGAAGGCCATTGGAACGGCGCTCATGTACCCACTGTAATAATGCTTCTTCTAGGTCTTCATCGAATGGCTTTCGTCCGCCTCCTTCAAGCCGCTTTCTCTTGCTGCTAGTATCTTCCAATTTGCTTTTCTTTTGTCGCCATTCTCTTACTCTCTTGCGGTCGACACCATACTTTGCTGCGGCTTTTCGGTTACTGTTACACTCTTCGGCAAATTGAACAGCCTTAAGTTTAAATTCGTTAGAATAAGAAGAGTTCTTCAATCCTGCGTGCGATGTAGATGCTAGAGTTATACTTTCGTCCATGATGTCAAAGGTAAGCATGCTGTAATGCGAGAAGGCCGGAAAAGACCTCCCATGAGAAGATCACATTGTATCACGTGCTACCAAACACGTGTGTGACATTCATCTGCTGTTTACAACATGGCGCGTTCAAGCTATACCTTTACTTGGCAAATGGTTTACGAAATAGAATTTGCGTCTGTGATAAGAGGACACCATGTTTATAAAGCTGAATGGTCACCACAGCTTGGAGAACGGCTAGTGTGTCGGAAAGACGATCGAAAGGAGGCTAAAGAGCACGATGAATATGCGATTGGAACATTTATTCAAGACAGTGGCAAGCTGGTTGGACATGCGCCCATTGAACTTTCCTTCCTCGTGTTTACATTTTTACGAGCTCATGAGGATAATGCGGTGGAGGTAAAAGTAACTGGAAAAAAAACTTGAAAACGGCCTAGTTGTTCCAGGAACTTTTAAAGCAGTAACACGAAGCCGGCGACTGGGAGCAAAGTTTAACGAGGAACTTGATAAAGTAAAGCTCCTATGTGCCCACATGGATATTGAAATCAAGCAAATGAGAAGCAAACCTCTGAAGAACATTGATTTTGAGTTCTAACGAATGTCCGTTACCGATGTAAAAAAAAAATACTGTGTATCGAACTGAGTACCGAAGTTCATCTTTATCGGGGAAGGGTGGGGGTGGGGGCGCTTATTTGAGAGGACGCTTAGCAAAACCCGTCTTTTCTCGAGGGGGCGCTTATTGGAAGGGGGGCGCTTATTTCAAAATTTGAGTCCTAGGGGGGGCGCTAATTCGAAGCGGGGCGCTTATTGGAAGCTGGGCGCTTATTCGAGCATTTACGGTATATAAGATATGAAATTACTTTTTTTATATATTTGAGCTTTTTTAGTGTTTATTTTCATATTAAACCAATAATGTGCTCTAGATTCAAAAGGTATGTGTTATTTTACTTCGACAAAACTTTTGTGTACATTGGTGTCACATTGGGCTTTCTGCCTCATAGCATATAATATAGAATGTTGGAATAAAGGATGCAGTATCGCTCAAAAGCAACATGATAACCTAATTACTTTGTATTGAATAAGAATAAGAGAGTATAAAGGCCATGTAAATAACATTGGAGTCAAAAATCTGCTCACAATGCCCAATGCCTGATAGTCAATTTACTACTGGAAGTGTAGACTGACTTGCTAACACTAGAATGAAATCTCTAGGTGATGGAAGGACAACATTTTGATGCTCACAATGTTCTCGACATCCTTGATTGTGACAATAGTGATGCTGGTGATTCAGATAGCAGCAGTGACAATGAATGTTGTTAACAGATACAGGTAAAAAGCTTTGCTGATTGTATTAGTTTTTGTACAAATGAAATTTAGATTTCCTATTAGCTTGGCTAACTGACACTGGAATAAACCAAAATAGAAATGCTATAATAGCAATAAAGAAGATTGATTGTTATAAAATTTCAAAATACAAATAAACTTGTCAGCAATTTTCAGTAAGGCTGATTATTCAAGAAGCCAATCATGCTAACCAGTACTTTTTTCATTTGAAAATATTTTTTTCTGTAGGGAGAATACTCTGGCAGCAGTGATGATGATGGTGAGTTTGAAAATGTGAGTAGGGAAATCTATGATAGTGATGACAATGATGATAACATGCCCCTAGCTTCAATGCGAACAAGTAAGCCGAGTTGGAGAAAAACTTCATTTGTTGTGTCGGAAACTAGTGTAACATTTACTGGTCCAAACATTGAAGCCCCAGTGAACATGGAAACAAAAAACTCCTCTTCAATATTTTAAGCAATTTGTTAGTGATGATATGCTTCAAAATTTGGTGACAAGCACCAATGAATACAGTGTCCAAAAGTCTGGAAACTCAATGGTGGAAAACTCAACTTCTACTCTTCCGATCATTGGATCACATACCTCTTTTCCTTACCTATCTCAACCACCAACATCCTAACATCTCCTTTACATCTGAACTAGAAAAAGACAACACGCTCCCCTTTCTTGACGTAAAAATAACTCGCTTAAACGGCAAGTTTTCCACCTCCGTGTATCGTAAACCCATGTTCACTGGTCTCTTCACCAATTTCCATAGTTTCATTCCCATTCAATACAAACGCTCCTTGATCTCCTCTTTACTTCACAGAATTTTCAACCTCTGCTCCAGCTATGAACACTTTCATATCGAACTAGAAGTTGTTAGAAAATTGTTCACCTTAAACAACTTCCCTTCATACATATTTGACAATCATGTTAACCGCTTCCTCAACAATACATTTGAACCCAAAGATCTTGTTCACACTGCTCCTAAGAAAATCATGTACTTCTGTCTCCCTTTCACTGGCCTACACTTTCTTCAGATTCGCACTCAAATCACTCGACTTTGCAATGCTGCCTTTCCTCATATCTACGTTCGCTTTGTTTTTCGTTCTTCAAGGCGTCTCTCCTCTTTTTTTCCTTTTAAGGATAGGGTTCCCAAACTCCTGAGATCTGGTGTTGTATACTCATTTAAGTGCCGATGCTGCTCTGCATCGTATGTTGGTCAGCCTTCCTTATGTCCACCACCATCTGCAGTTCTTTCTCATATAAGAAATACATCTCACTCTGCCGATTTTAATGATTTCTCAATTCTCTCTTCCTCCTCCGACAATTATGACCTTATGATTCATGAAAGCCTTCTTATATCCAAACTTAAACCCTCTCTTAACACCCAAGGCAACTCAATCCCCCTTCATCTTCTTTAATATACAGCCATTCTCACTTAATTCCGTCATCTAAACTTCCTACTCCCCTCACATGTAAATTAACACCCCGTAATATATACTTGTATTTAAAACCTCGTGTATATAAATTAACTCAATTAATCTGAAGATGTCTTAAGTTAAAGACGAAACGTTATTAATAAATCCTTATCTATTTTATTACTGTGATGGCTTTTTTAAAAGTCTTATGTTGGGCTATTATGTTCATATTGAAAATTCGCATTCCGCCTGGCAAATCTCTGGCCATCTATAATGAATTCTATAATCTCATGACATGTCATTGACACGGTATGATTGCATGACTAGTAGAAATGTAAAATTATTGTGACAGACAAGCCCTTAGCAATTTAGTATTTTCACCAAAAATAGTTTTCAGTGAAAATTTTGATGATGGCATTTCTAAATTTTTGCGAAATCTTATATATGACGCAAATGTGAAGATGTTAGCTAGTCACGTCACATGTATTATTAGACAGAGACTTTGAGCAGTGACTGTGGGGAGTGTGACAATCCCTATCTTTTGACGAAGATGTGAAAAATTTGATCAAGTGAAAAAGAGATTTATCCTATTGATAAGAGTTATCCACCTTTCGTACAGCCGGCCTCTGGTGGCTTGTGCAATTGATTACATTAATATATAAGATCGTATTTAAGTAAGAATTTATCATATGAAGCTCAGTTGATATAACTTGTGAATTTTGATTTGAGATCAATTAATCCTTTTATGTTATTGTACGTTAATCATCCATGATGAATTCTTGTGATGACGTTATAATCTCATGACATGGTATAAGATTATAGGACAGGAAGAAAGACATATACTGAAATAGAAAAAGCTCTTGTCATTTTCTGTTTACAATACCTTTAAATTTAGGACTTAGGAGTGTTAAAGTGTAAGAGCAACCTTTAAGATAATAGTTAAAACTCTTTTCCTTATTTTATAAATAAACACTTCAAGAAATACATGAAAAAATTTGTAAATAGATTTACCAAACGGTGACAGATGTCAATTTGCGCATCAGTGCAAGCTTTGATTACATCCATTTGCAATTGACCGTGCAGTGTGCATAGATGAAATGTTTGTTACAGTTTTAAAAATTTAAATTATTGATGGCTAAGGCGTACAAGTTAAGTAATGGAAGCTGTAGTTTATATGCAATAAATTAAGCGACCGTAGAACGTGAACAATGTGATGGATTTTAGTAGAGGTAATAACGTCAAGTTTTGAAACTATAACAAACGTTTAATTTATGCACGCAGCACGGTCAATTGAAAACGTGCAATGCACGTGATAGTTAGTAAATGTTTGTTTTAACGTCAGACGAAAAAATAAGAAGTATATTTCTTGCCACAAAATTTATATACGCGCACTCCAAGTATATATACAGCTCAGTGTCATAAAGAAAAGTAAAAATCAATGGAAAAGATACCATTTAAAGAGGTATATAAATTACTCAATAAATTTCATAAAACCAATAACATATTTTAAGATATATATTTCCTTAATTTTTTTGTTGTATATGAAAATCTAAATAAATGAAAAATATCCATTCCAACCAGTCAAGATATAGAAATTCGTAATCATGGAAAAGATTATACATTATTTTATTCACACATGTGTTGAATTCCATCGGACAGAACACGATTTGCCAAACCCAAAACACCCAGAACCAGAACGACAACAACTCCCGTCAAAACAACAAATTCCATTCAACCAAGGACAACAACGGTAATTTTCAAATTCGATCTCAAAACTATGAACTGGACAACACTTTGTACCATCCGGACACCATTGTTGCACTCCATGAATTTTTCCACAAATTACACGATTTACATTCTAGAAGAAATTTGAGTAATGATTTGAGTACATTATTTAAGTCATTTTTGATATAATGACATTTCTTACATTTATAAATATTTCTATTTAGAACTAAGAATACTCAAAAAGAACATTTTTACTCTTATTGATATTTCAATAATGAAAAACTGTGTGTTCGATAATAAAGTCTTCGTTTTTTCCAAATGTTTTGAGCACATTATTTAAGTCGTTTTACAATTATAATGCGTGGCATATTTTACATTTAAAAATAATACACTTTGAGATATTCTCAACTGTGATTGGTAGATTGCTGTGCGTTTTTTGGTAATTACCAATTTACCATATGAAAATGTATAATTGCTCTGTAAAGCTTTGAAAACATTCTTTAAAGAGAGGATTTAAAACTATCTCTCGTATGCATGTCTATGTGAACTTGTTCTAGAAATTACATAATTGCCTTTACTAATGATTTCTATTTTAAACTGAAAAATATTTTAGCTGTCTATATTTTTTCTTCTATTAACATTGTGATAATTAAAACTTGTTTGTTTGACATTAAAACTTATCTTTTCTTAAAATGTGTGTCCGAGAATATGGTTTAAAGGTTTGATTCCAACTTACAAGCTCTATATTAGTAACAAATATAACAATTTTCAAAATAACTAGTTACATTGGAGGCGTACGGAGGCTTCAATCTCTGGCTAGAGGTGTGTTGTACTTACCCAAAATGTTACGTATTTAAGTAGTATTTTATGTAGAAATTTAAAGTCTACCGACAATTGGTCAAGTTAAGTTACATTCTTTCAAGTCCGTGGCTAAAGATATTAAAGTGGTTTGTTTTTTAGCTGCAAACACCAAAGACACACGATTGAGAAAATCCAAGGAGTCTGGGGCTGAACCCTTGGGCAACTTTAATCTCCTGAAAATCGTCATTCACTGCATTTTGAATACACTTTTTAATAAAACAAGAAATAAAAGTAAAAAAAGTGAAAATGATCGATAAAAGGCTTTTTTTAAAAAGTGAAAATAACAAGAAAACACCTTTTCAATTGTCTTTAATTTACCTGCCCTAAAAGCACCTACTTCTAAACCTTAGAGGGAGTGACACCCACCACAAAGTCCCCATCAGCAGTCCCACGATCGATATGCCTTTCACCTCGTACTTTATTACACTGACTGGTTAACGTCTTGATTTAGCATCTCTATTTTTGAATGACATGTTGTTTGTAGTAGAATATCAAACGTTTGGGCTCATCATTGTAAGAAAATCATTGTTGAAAAAAACAACGTTTGTATATGACGCTTTAGCGGAAACATTATTAGTAAATATCACAACTTTTACCGTTTTTGAACGGCCTGGGGCCCACAAAAGGTTTATCAGAACCCAAACGTTTGTCTACTTTTCATTAAATTTCTTATGATTTGTTTATGATTATATGACAGAAAAAATACGTAGCAAGTAAAATATAAAGGTTTAGCTCTCTGACGCTGATTATCAAAATGTGTTTACTTTTTATTATAAGTTGTGTTTGTGTTAGGAAACCAGAATTATTAAGCCAGTGCAGTGAAGTCATTGCAACAAAGCCAAAAGCAGAACATCAAATTCATAAATAATTTTTGTGATCGACTGAGAAAATTTCTCTTGCTCTATAGAATAATTTTGATTGCTTTCATGTGACTCACGTTGATTAATTCATGGTTATGGACTTTGCCCCACTCCTTATTATTAAATGTTTATGTTTGATAAATATTAAGACGACCAACCTCTTTGTACGTATTTTCCAATAATGATTTCGTCGGTCTTTCCTTCATTTGCTTGTATCGCTCCATTTTGACCAAATCAATAAAAACCAGTAAACACAACAGTATGTAAGCTCTTTTCATAGCTAAAACAAAATGATCAAATGTATTTCTTTTTTTACATATTACATTTTGTAGCAATAATGTTGAAATTACCTTTTCTTGTACTTCTTTTTGTAACAAGTAAAAATGCAACAAAATAAATTAGCAATAATTCTGTCTACTTATATCGACCTACTTTGAAGCTGTGGTGACTTGTGCAATGAAGTGTTTATTGTGAGATCGTATTTAAGTAAGAATTGATCACATGAAAATCAAACGATATTCGTGTGAATGTTGGTTTGAGATCAATTAATATTTTTATGTTTTTGTATCTTAGTCATCCATGATGATTTCTTGTGATGATGTTGTAATCTCATGATATGGTATGATTACATGACTCGAACAATGTCATATAGTAAAGTAAAACTAGCTCTTGTCCTTTTCTGAAGTTAATGTGATAATACCTGCAAGTTTAGGAGTTTGGAAGTGTAAGAACAACCTTAGTTAAAGAAATTAGTTAAAAGTCTTCTGCTTATTCAATAAATAAAACACTTGGAAAAATACATATAAATTTTGTAAATAGATTTACCACACCGTGTACTTGCGACAGAAACGCATGTCTTTTTCACATTATTGTTAATGAATAAAAGAAATAAAAGATGTTTTCGTGTTTGCACTGCCTTATGCAAACCTTGGAGAGGTTTGTGAGAACCTCGAGCACGTGCAACCCTTGACCTTTGGTCTCGGGCTTGCACTGATCATCTCTTATGTTCTCCCAAAGGTCTCCTCGGTTTGCATAATCCTGTGCAAACACAGTAAACATCTTTTATTTCTTAATTGAAACATTGAAAAGTTTTTTAACAACGTGCAATGCACGAGATAGTTTGTAAATGTTTGTTTTGACGTCAAACTCAAACTAAGATTCTACGGATAATAATGTAGCACAGTTCTCATGCTTTGGATCAAATTTTTTAAAAAGAATTACATAATATATAATATAAATATATTTATTTTTTCAAGTGTTTTTTATCAGAAATCACCCGTAACTTGTTTACTAAATGTATGGAATTAAAGTGCTTTTACATGCTTAAGCTGCGAAAATTGTCGGTGTTAAAAATAACCAGGAATTTTTTATTGTAGCTGTGTGCCGTCGTTTTTTTATATATTCACCCTTCCATGAGCGAAACTAGAACGTTTATTTGGGTATATATTCATATGTTCACCTCTGCCCTGCTGATTTCTTTTGTTTGCGATGTTAATTTCAACAGAAGTCAGCAGGGCAGAGCTGAATATATGAATATTTACCCCCCGCCTCCAATTACGTTCTAGTTTTGCTCTGACGCTATTAATATGTTATTTGAGAACTTAAATGTCGTTGTTAAGAAATTTTCGTAAAACAAGAAAATTGATTTTATTTTCATGCCTTACTACAATACAACATATCTGCATGCACTTTATCATTTAAATAAAGCAAACATGTTGGAATATTTAGACAAAAAATACATTTAATTGAGTAATTGTATATCGTTTATGATTAAGTTGAAAACAGCAAAAACCATTCATTTTATTGTGAATTTGCATTCTGAAATGAATGACTGAAGTATATAACCTACGATGTTCACTTTTGATTTTATTTTAATATCTTGTGTTATGTTTACATACTACGAGTCTGTGGCTTAAAGCAAGATCAATCAATGGCTTAGTCATCCTACTAGTTATGGTATTGCATAATGTATTGTGAATTTCAGACGATTTTTCTTGTTTAAAAAATCACTTCTTTTAACACTCGCAGCGAGTGCACATAGAAAACGGACAAACCATGAGTCTGATTCTGATGGCCAGAATGAGTTGGGCTGTCAATTCTCAATTCTCATCGTCAAAATGTTGTCAAAATAAAGACGACCACAACATTAGTTATTCAGAATTTTAAAGTTTTGGTTTTTCTCGACCCAATCCTCCACCATTCACAGTTGCTCCGCATACTTTCTTATAGTCACGTGATTAAATGGAATGAAACATGGAAAGATGGCGGAATTCCAGTGGGTGGTATGTTTCGCTGCCGGAAAATGGCATATACAACCATAAATACAACCATCCGACTGGTGCAGCTTAAAAAAGATATTTCAGGGCTTCCATTTACTACATGTTTCGAAGTTCATGTATGAGAACAATATTTCTTCGTGTATTCATATTTTTTAGGAGTTTGCAACATCAAAGCTCGAAGCAAGGCAATCGATCAACAGGGCTCAGTCACTCAGTACTATGCTTAGTACTTTTTTAAATATCTATCGGAGAAGTCTGGCTGGGAGAATGGTACTTAGAATAATTCTAGGCTAACTTTGTCAATCCAAGAACACGTGCAGTACTGGTTTTTATAAATCGGGGTATTATTTTTTGGGTACACTTGCAAAATGTATCAATTCAGGAAGAAATTCAGACGCTCAAATGACTTCTTTTACAATAACGTGGAGAGGAAAGGAAACACACAAAAGATGATGCGGTAGGAATTTTTAAAGTGTTCTTTTTATTGTTTCTGGTTGCACAAGTTCATATTAATTTATATTTATTACGACAGTTATATTAACAAAAGTATGTGTACAAATTTATTTATGCCCACAATGTTGTGTAAGGAAAAACGATTATTCTGAGCACATTTTCCAATTTCAAGTCTGGATTCTCTACATCCTTTAATCACAATGTCATATATGTTAATAGAATAGCAGTGTGTCATATGAATCTCAATTTTTTGAACAAGAAAATGAATTTGGGGATTTAGTAAGTTTACATATATTGTAAAACTATGTAGATATAAAAATACGCTATATTTATGGGTTTTTTTCATTTATATGTAGAATGAACAAAGTGAAGATATTGCTGAAAATTATGACAAGCACCAAGAGTTAACCACCAAAACACAGGTTTTTAATGTACATATTGATATTGTTTCTCATGAAAAGTCATTGGAAATGGTTATATGTAGGACTGCTTTCACTAGAAAAACTAAAAATTTTGAAGTAATTTAAAGAAGGCATGCATTATTTCAACACTTATTAAAAGTCTGTACACATTTTAAATTAAATAATGGTCTTTATTTGTAGGATTCTGAAGATATTTTTACCAAGCAATCTATCTCTATGATTACAGAGGAATCTAAACAACCATGTCAACATAGTCAAGTAGTTCTCACTTATACAGTTATACTTTATACTGTTTACCACTAGTCATGTTTTTAATGTGTTATAAATTGACAATATGCTTGTTGATTGCTTATGCATGAGACACTGTGTAGCAAAACTTTATTAACATCTCGTAGAAATGTGCTCAACAAACATAAAAATATATTACAATAGATATTTTTGAAACAGTGAACATTAATAATTATTGTATACTTGCTCTTTCAGAGTCATTTGTCACCCACTGGCCACTATACTGGGCTATTGTTACAGTTTGACTTTGCATCAAATGTATCACGTCAGCAATCCTTTGTTGTTCATGATTATAATGCAAACAAAAGAACAATTATGGTGATGTCAAATTTTATTTCCATAATTTCAATGTTGGGTATATACCCAACTAAATGATATTACTCAATACTCTTTTTTTTTGGTGCTATAACCTGCATGTATTTTTTTCTTCAGCATAATTCATTTGTATTTGTTCATCGATATCCCCACCTATTGCTTGATGGCTACGGTTGGATATTGTGCTGCTCATGTGATGCAAATAGAAAGCAATTTGTTGAAGCCCTACCTAATAATATACAATTAGATCCTCAAAAAAAGGTATGTAAAATAGATGTTACTGAAATGAAATTATTAAAACAGGCCAAACAACATTTTTATACTTGTCAGATATACCATATCCCAGTTGCATACACATATTAGCAATGGAAAAATATCTGGTTGTGTATGATAGAAAGTTTGGTATTGAAGCCAAAGATTTTATTGAAAAAAAGTAAGTGTTGTGTGTTACTCTTTCAGGATATAAGGTGTCTGAACAGCTTCACCAAATTTAGACTTACACTTACATACTATTTGTTTGAAGACCCTTGTCAAAGATGTGAGAACTTGTTACATATTAATCTGACATTGCATGAAGTGAATGTCTCAAATTTGTATTTGGCTTATTTTTTCAATGTAAAGTTCTTCATGTTGTATGGGAGGAAATGTCTTCATCCTTAAATATCAGTTTATTGTACATTTCAAACCCTTGTGAAGTCATCCTTCTGTGTTTTTACAAGACCCTTGTGAGACATTGTTCTTATTACATGTGGACGTTAACTAGCATAGCTTTACAAGCAAAATATTGTTAAAATTTGTGAATGATTATTTACACAACATATTTATCTCATCCAATTTCTTTTATGAATGCAGAATCCACATCCATGATGCAGTCTGTTTTCAGTGATCATTCCTACCATGAGATGCAACCTGAAGAAGTATATTTTGTTATCTGAAAATAACTTTTTTGTACAAATACACGTATAGTTTCTCAACCTTCTAATACCCCACAATTTGTTACCATACATCCTGTGCCTAAGTTCAGGAGCTTCTATAAAGCTATTAGGGTGATAGCCAACAGGGCAAATTGAATTTATGACTATTGAGGTATACACATTCATACTCAAATACATACATAGCCACATACTTACAGTACATACATTAAGTAGTATAAACTAAATGTATGGTAAAAATAGTAAAGTCATATTCACCATTAGCTTTACGTGCCTGATATATATATTAAGCACTTTCTAAGGATTTTGTGAAGTCATAATTAATCATAATTATTAATCTACAACCTTAAGATAAATGATTTTACATATTTTAGGACTTGTTTAGTGCAGTGTGCAGGAGGTTCAGTGGATTGCTGTAAAACCAGTGAATAGTCCATGGGGGGTTTGTACTTTTGTGTATTCAAAAGTAACGCCGCCCCAGCCCGAGTTAAAATGTTGCAGCTGTTCGTCATATCATTGCATTCATGTGACAACCCTTGCAAAAGCCATGCAAATCGTTGAAGAGGATGAAATGGATTCTCCATTGGCACTTTTTAAGTGTTCCTTTGGAATTACACCAGAGATGCGAGACTATTTTGAATTGGCTACACTTAGCAAAGAAAAGGTTTCTTTATTTGAAACAGGTATGCAAGATAATCTGCAATGGTGAACATCCTTTTTGCTTTACATATACTATTTCCTTTATCGGTATGGTATTTAGCACTTTCTAGCATTTTGTAAATATTACAATTTAATTATTTTAGGCAATGAGAATGATGCAAGCGATTTTACTGATCTTCCTGAAAAAAATGGTCATAAAATTTTGGCGCCATCTGAAAGTGGTATTTGTTTTGTGGTGCAGAGTGGGATAAACGTTCTATTCAAGATGAATGGTTGTACGTAGACGTGTGTTCAGTTGCGTACTTTTATTCAATCCATGATGTGAAGGGTAAGTTCTGATTTGTTATAGGTTACGCTTTGCTTCATAATTATTTGACTTAAATAAATTATTTAGTGTATTGTAGACCTTGCTCCTCTTGTGCTACGAAAAAGCATTATGATGGCATTGAAAACAGGATTGTATGGTTTGGATCATATGCAATATCTCATGCCGTTCTAAAAGATTACATTCGGCTTTTCATAACGTCGAGGTACTTTTTAATGAAAATTTGCCGAAGCATTAGTAGCTACGTTTGTCCATTATTTAATTTTCTCGCCCTATCTCTTTTGAATGTTTTTTCTTTTTTATTCTTGTTCAGTTTACCTATGTACAAATATTATGTTGCGTATGTACAAAGGCAAGTGTCTTCGGGTAATTTTAATTTCCCAAAGGAAATAACTTACGCCAAGTTTCGTCTCGCTATCATTGCCATGATACGGTAAGCATCATTTCATTTTCAGCTGTAAAATATGAATATTCCATTGAGATAGTGATCGCTTGTTTTATTAAGTTATTGAATTTTCTCTTATTAAGGTTGCTTAATATTGATTTTGACAATGGGTTTTTTTGTGAATTATGTGGAAGAATTCCCCAAAAGATAGTGATGGATGGAACAACTCTTGGAATACAGAAAACTTTCTTACCAAATAATTTAAGAGAGTCTGATACTGGATTGCTAGATGGAAGATAAGTATTTTTGAAGTTTATCCGTAATGTATAGTATATACAGGTCTTCTAATTAGTAAATACGAGTGTTCATCTACGTATCAGAAAGCATTTTATGCATGATGGTGACTTCTCTCAATTTGTTTTTGTACACAGCTTATAGTTATAAAAATAACAACCTGTTTTCTTTTGTCCAATACTAGGTTTGAAATGCGCAATTTCATCAACAGGAGAAATGTGCGAGCTTTATTGAAGAAGTACAGTGATTCAAAGCTAAGTTGGGACGAATTTCAAGAATTAAAATCTGAAGTAAGAAGAATTTATTACCCCACGAGTACAAAATTTTGTATGACCACTCCAGAGCTCATTTTATACTATAATTTCTCGTATTTATAGATATCTTCAAAGGGGCTTAGGACTCTACTTGAATGGTTAGAGAAACAAGGATTTATCACTAGTTGTCCAAACTCGTGCAGAAGGTTATTGGCAGCATTGGCTTCTGACAAACCAGTATGCGCAATTGTGCCCCAAAGAAGAAGTTTTGGACCTCTTGATAAGGATGTCTGATGGAGCCAATCCAAAAGACAATCCTTCGACTGATTTAAAACTTCTTCATGAAGAAGTGCCTTACTGTTTAACGTCATTGAGACTAGCGAAGAAATTCCAATTACTATTCAACCGCTGCTAAAGGAATTGGTACAAAAGGCGATAAGTCCGTTCGAGGTCAAGGACGGTCAGTGGCGTTTGCCACACAACTTACCTGCGGTGTCTCAAAATTCGTCCCATGGATATCTACCTTCTCTGCCAGAACTGGTTCAACGAGGGAATTATGTTCTTGACAATAGGAAGACACAGCAGGGAGATTGTGCCAAAGTCACTAGACCCAAGAAGAAGCATGGCACTTTGATCCCTGGAATATTTTGTATTCTTTGTCCCCACGGTATTTACATGATGAACAGCTCCAACGAAAATTTGTTTTACTATTGCAGTGACATTGCGCCTTCGTTTTTGTTTCCAGGTATATGTTATGGATTCGAAATAATGAGGGATCACGAATCACCAAATATCCCATTTACCATTTTACGAACACGTTTTCCTGATGGTAAGTTACGTATGTGTGTACCTTTTATGGTGCTACAAACAGAGTATTGTCAGTGAATCGGACAGATTGCGTGACGGTTTAGTCGCCTGATAGAGTTGTAACATAACCGAATGTGCCTGATGATATGCTTATGTATTTTTATTTCTTTAGCGCCAGAGTTGGTCATTTACGATAATGCCTGCAGATTGCACGAGTATTGTTTGAACCGAGATCCAGCATTTTTTAAGAAAACAAAATTTGTTGTTGATAAGTTTCATTGGAAAAATCATTCAGGTAAACTGCCATACTCTTCCTATTTTACTTGAAGCGAACTTATTGATCCAAAAATGGCCGTTTTTATGTTTTCACAAAATTTGTTGATTTATAACTGTCCTTTATGTGTAGGATGCTGCGAAGGATATAACATGAAATTGTACCCCATGCTCAATATGTACAATAGCCAAGCTGCTGAACAGTGCAATTCGTGTATTAAGCCTCTTGCCTCCATGGTTTCTTACATGGAATACGATAACTTTTTTCTTTTCACAAAACTCCATATTTGGCACAGGAATATGTTACGCATTGTTAAATACAATCCTGAGAGAGAAATAGCCTACAAAGACTATTTTCTCACTCTTAGTCGCGTTATTCATTAGTAACGCGTTATAGTTTCGTTTTTCGAAAAATTTAAACTTGTTTTTATGAATAGTTTTATCTGTACAAAATATTACTTCATAGTTACCCATATAGTTTCTGCAAAAGTAACAATTATATGTAACGTCGTTACTTGTAAAAAAATTATTTACATCACTTGTTATAAATATAAGAATGTTATTCATATGCACTAGCTTTAAACTTAAATTCTGCTTCATTACAAATTGCTTTGCTAAATGGCAAAGCTTCGAATCAGTTTTTAAGGTATGGTCTTTACTATTTACATGGATATCATCAAGTAATCCAGGACCAACTTCTCCCTATCAAAAAGAACACTATCTTTATATGAACAGAGTAAACAAAGTGATTAAGAATCATGATATCTTTTCTCAACTTTACCCCCTCTGTTATTCTTCTCGCAAATTCTGTCACGAATATGCCACAATCATAACCATTTGCTTGTTGCATCACCTGTCGTCAATAGTTAAGTTATCCCTTTGTGACAATTTAAGCGTGATCTGTTGCCATTGTAAATGATAAGTACTTACGTCGGCATATATAGGTTGGGAAATTTGAGCAATGTCTTCTGGCCATCTTTGCTCTTGCCTCACATGCTGAAAATATCTTTTCACAAGAAAAATGATTTGTGTAGACGTGCTAGAAACATTCACTTTGTCAACATGTTAGATACATGATACACTTCATTCTTCAAGTAAATTGTTATGTACGTCATATACCTTCGTATACTGGATGCAACTTCACTTTTTTGCCACCCCATACTGCATAACACATAGAGTTTGCCTGCTCTAATATTGTATGCAATGAGCCACCAATGCAGCCTATATTTTTTAAATGAACATGGAGTTGGCTCATGTTGGCCTTTGCATCATGAAACAGTAAAATTTAGTGCTTCCACCCTTACATGTCACATATTGGCACTAGCACACATTCATATTTATTCATTTCTTCAGGTGTGTACATCCCCACTCTTGAAATGAAACATCCTGATAATCTCAGCGGTCTTTCTCCTCTAAAAAGTAGGAAATACAGCGATGTTTATTTACACGATTTATGAGTAGTTTGATAATGTTGAAAGTTGTGAATATTTTACCAAAATTTGCTACTTAAAATACGTACAGAGGTCCATCTATTAACAGTTTCTGTTGAAAAAATTGCTAAATGCGAAATATTTTGCATTTCTTTTTTCTGCTAATTTACAGTAGTACCTATAAATAAGAATGTAAATGTTTTGACACATTAGCCATGCATTTAGAGTGACTTTCGTCCTTTATTTCAGCTACACCTAGATTTTTGGGTAGTACCTTAACAGGACGTCTACGATGGTGTCGCATACCCAACTGTTATCATTTAGTGTATTCAAATCTCTTTTGTAAATGCTTATACCATCGAAACAAGCAACTCTGGAATCAAAATGAAAACGTGTCAAGAATAAAAGGAGTCATTCTTATTTTCTTTATACGTGTCTAAAATATGTTTTACAACAAAAAACCTCTCATTTTCTCCATTCCAAGTTCTCCTAGAGAAAAAATAAAAAAATACAAACATCTTAATATACGTATGGCACAAAAGTTTAGAATCACTCAGATTTTTATTTGGCAAGAGATGTTGGGAAAAAAACCTGTAATTCAAACTTTTATGCTGCGTTGGGTGTCGAGTTTGTCGTTTTTCCCATTTTGGCTCCAAGAATGCAAACAGGTCCTTCTTTATTTTACAAAGAGTAAAAGCCACACTGCCTACGACCATGGTTATATATGCCGAAAACTGGCATACTTTTATTTCTACCACATTCTTCTAAACACTTTAACACTGCTAGCCTTCTCATCACTCGTTTAAACTCAAACTAACAAGATCTCTGTAATGAAATGTATTTACGACCATGGTTATATATGCCGAAAACTGGCATACTTTATATTTCTACCACATTCTTCTAAACACTTTAACACTGTTAGCATTCTCATCACTCGTTTAAACTCAAACTAACATTGTCTCTCTAATAAAACTTTTTTACGACCATGGTTATATATGCCGAAAACTGGCATACTTTATATTTCTACCACATTTTTCTAAACACTTTAACACTGTTAGCCTTCTCATCACTCGTTTAAACTCAAACTAACATTGTCTCTCTAATAAAACTTTTTACGACCATGGTTATATATGCCGAAAACTGGCATACTTTATATTTCTACCACATTTTTCTAAACACTTTAACACTGTTAGCCTTCTCATCACTCGTTTAAACTCAAACTAAAAGATCTCTGTAATAAAAGTTTTACGACCATGGTTATATATGCCGAAAACTGGCATACTTTATATTTCTACCACATTCTTCTAAACACTTTAACACTGTTAGCCTTCTCATCACTCGTTTAAACTCAAACTAACAAGATCTCTGTAATAAAACGTTTTTACGACCATGGTTATATATGCCGAAAACTGGCATACTTTATATTTCTACCACATTTTTCTAAACACTTTAACACTGTTAGCCTTCTCATCACTCGTTTAAACTCAAACTAACAAGATCTCTGTAATAAAATGTTTTACGACCATGGTTATATATGCCGAAAACTGGCATACTTTTATTTCTACCACATTTTTCTAAACACTTTAACACTGTTAGCCTTCTCATCACTCGTTTAAACTCAAACTAACAAGATCTCTGTAATAAAACGTTTTACGACCATGGTTATATATGCCGAAAACTGGCATACTTTATATTTCTACCACATTTTTCTAAACACTTTAACACTGTTAGCATTCTCATCACTCGTTTAAACTCAAACTAACAAGATCTCTGTAATAAAACGTTTTACGACCATGGTTATATATGCCGAAAACTGGCATACTTTATATTTCTACCACATTTTTCTAAACACTTTAACACTGTTAGCCTTCTCATCACTCGTTTAAACTCAAACTAACAAGATCTCTGTAATAAAACGTTTTACGACCATGGTTATATATGCCGAAAACTGGCATACTTTATATTTCTACCACATTTTTCTAAACACTTTAACACTGTTAGCATTCTCATCACTCGTTTAAACTCAAACTAACAAGATCTCTGTAATAAAACGTTTTTACGACCATGGTTATATATGCCGAAAACTGGCATACTTTATATTTCTACCACATTTTTCTAAACACTTTAACACTGTTAGCCTTCTCATCACTTGTTTAAACTCAAACTAACATTGTCTCTCTAATAAAACTTTTTTACGACCATGGTTATATATGCCGAAAACTGGCATAGTTTATATTTCTACCACATTCTTCTAAACACTTTAACACTGTTAGCCTTCTCATCACTCGTTTAAACTCAAACTAACAAGATCTCTGTAATAAAATGTTTTTACGACCATGGTTATATATGCCGAAAACTGGCATACTTTTATTTCTACCACATTTTTCTAAACACTTTAACACTGTTAGCCTTTTTGATGTTCTAGGTAGTTGGGATACTGTATTTTAAGATTACATAGTTTGTTTTTATCTAGGAGGTATATTTTTATGTGGAAAAGACTTTTGAAATCATCCTTCCATAATTTTTCCCCTTGACAACGCCTTAGCAACCACTTTCTAGCAACTTTTTCTTATGATAAAAGCCTCCGTAAATAATTTTTTTGAATTCTTCTTTTGGTGGATGTATTTTCAAAGCCTTTTCTCCTAGCTGCTTTTGATTGGTCCAATTTGGACACCATAGTAACGGACAATCTTTGTCCAAAGCGAGCACACGAGTGATTGTCCTCTGATTCGAAGTCTGGTTTAAACGGTTGAAATTTTGTATTTTTACTGCGAAAACTTGGTTTCTTAGTGTTCTATAACTAACCCTGTTGTATTTGGATTATATTTTGTTTAAAAATGGGAAATTTGCGAAATAGAAAGAGAAAAGCGGTTCGAACTCCCCCATCAAAAAATGCCAAGATGCCCAAACATGGCTGCGCCGGCGGTGAAGATGATGTTAGTGAGGGGCCTTCTGGAGTTAAAATCGGCACGCCTAGTGCAAATTATGGATCATTTTCTTCGCCTATTGGTATATTGAGAGAAGGTACAATATTTATGGACTTGTCCTTGCTGTTTGGGGTATTTGACGAGTTGCTAAAATGCCCAGAATGTGATGGCAATGTAAGTTCTCATGTCGACATCAAGAAAAAGAATGGCTTCTCACATTACATTGTTTTGCAATGTAATGCAGAAAAATGTGGCTGGAAATACTGTTTCACTACATCGAAGAAGCAAGGTTATTCCCACGAAATGAATGTTAGAACTGTGTTGGCATTCAGAGAAATTGGACGAGGACATGCAGCAATGGTCACCTTCTGCAAAATAATGAATATGCCAGCTCCACCTACTCGTCGTGTGTTTACAAAGATTCAAAATAAGAAGCTATTGCCTGCTGTCAAACAGTTGGCAAATGATAGTATGCTAACCAGTGCTTTGAAGGTGAGAGAAGTCAACAGCAATGGAGAATGTGGTATTTCAATGGATGGTACTTGGCAGAAAGGGGCATGCTTCGCACAATGGAATCGTAACAGCTATTTCCTTGGACACCAAGAAGTGCATAGATGTTGAGGTGCTGTCAGACAAGTGTCAACAATGTTTGAAGTGGGGAAAAAAAGTGATCCCAGGTACCATTCATGGAAAGCATCACATAATTGTAAGATCAACCATAAAGGGAGTGCAAATAACATGGAATCATCGGAGCAGTGAAGATTTTGAAAGATCGGTTAACACCAGAGGCTTAAAGTACACCAGTATGCTTGGTGATGGAGATTCTGCTACGTACAATAGTATTGTTGAAAGAAAACCATATGGAGAAGAGTGCACTCCTAAAAGTTAGAATGTATCGGGCATGTTCAAAAGAGGGTGGGAAGTCGTCTAAGGAAATTAAAGAATCTGAAGAAAGGGGTGAAATTGAGTGATGGGAAAGGAATAAGTGGAAAAGGGAGACTTACTGATGGAAAAATTGATATGCTTCAGAATTATTATGGTTTAGCTGTGAGAAACAATCTGAATGATGTAAATGAAATGGCTAAGCAGATTAAGGCAGCTCTCTTTCATGTAGCCTCAACAAATGAAAACCCGCCATCAGCTTTGCCCTATTGGAAGTGACAGTTGGTGTGGTTACCAGAGAGATAAAGAGACATATGTACATAAGAATGGTATTCCTGATTGCATTGTAGAGCTAATAGAGCCCATATTAGATAATCTCAGCAACCCTAGCTTGTTGTCGAAATGCACACACAGGTTGACCCAGAATGTAAAAGTGTCTGAATGGTCTTATCTGGGATCGGTGCCCTAAGACAATTTATGTGGAACAAGAAACTGTTGCTCTAGCCACTTACTTGGCTATACTCAAGTTCAATGATGGGGACATTTCCTTGTTAAAGATGCTAACTGAATTGGACATAGTACCCGGTTTGTTTGCCAGTAAGGGAGCTCATGATTGCGATCGGGATCGCATCAACCTCTCAGTCAAAATGAGCTCTGAAAAGGTGAAAAAAGAAGAAAAGTGCGCAGGCATTTAAAAAAAACATATAGATGATGCTAAAGACAAAGAAGGTGTAACTTATGAACCTGGTCATTTCTGAGGCAGTTTTAAGGTCATTAAAACACAACTATAACTTTAAATAACAATTTCTTACTTTCATGATTTCGGGCAAAGAGGACTATCTTTGTGACACCATAACTTCTTTATTATTAATAGTATTAGGCTAAAATTTTGTGTGTGAAAAGCAAATGAACTATTTTAGTGCCTGACACTCTTTAAATTTTTGTATTTATCTTTAATGATGACTAATTGAATGTTGATCTCTTAATTAGAGTCAAAAATTTCTAATATTTTCAGTTTTTCTCAAATTTTTTTTTCTAAAAAATAGTTTCCAAAAATCCAAGAGTGTCATGCACTAGCCCAGGTTATAAGCTTCCCAAATATATATTGTATGTCTCATAGTTACGAATAGAACTTGAGTTATCATGTTTGCCGTGAGACTAATTTAATGGTAATTAATTAGCCGCCATGTTGGTTAATTAGCATAATTAATGAGTTATGACAAAAAAATTAGAGTGATGCGATTTGTACGAGTATGAACTTTCTAATACTGTTATTTTTGGCTGCCAATCATCAGAATTAAAAAAATTTACTTCTAAGGGGAATGAGTACCTTAACACTGTTAGCCTTCTCATCACTCGTTTAAGCTCAAACTAACAAGATCTCTGTAATAAAACGTTTTTACGACCATGGTTATATATGCCGAAAACTAGCATAGTTTATAGTTCTACCACATTTTTCTAAACACTTTAACACTATTAGCCATCTCATCACTCGTTTAAACTCAAACTAACAAGATCTCTGTAATAAAATGTTTTTACGACCATGGTTATATATGCCGAAAACTGGCATACTTAATATTTCTACCACATTTTTCTAAACATTTTAACACTGTTAGCATTCTTATCACTCGTTTAAACTTAAACTAT